GTTTTTACGAGTCAATGACATTGCAACTTATTGATACTCAATTTACAAAATACATAATATATGGTAAATTGGCGTTTAAGCTTGTCAAAGTATCTTTTACCTTTGATATTCAAATTATGGGATCGTCGATTTAAACTGAGCATCGTTTGATATCGTCATGTAAAGTTAATAGAATAAATAAATAATATAATGAATACAAATTACATATTTTAGTATCACATGAAATCTTTAATTTGAGTATAAATGTAATAAAAACGTGACAAACGTTAGAGGGATAAGTTTTTAATTAAATCGTTTTAAAAGTACCAACGTTGTTATATTTTTTTTCAATTTTTTTTTTTTATTACGTCTTTATAACGTTTTTATTGGCGTCCCAAACAATCTTAAATTATTTTTTTTAAGCATCAAGAAAATAAAAAATAAACGATTTTACAGTAGGTATTGCAATTATATTTTTTACTACACAGGTATCCTGTCAGAAAGCTCTACGATGCATTCCTAATTTAATTAATAATATATGCCAAAGGGTAACGGTAATAAATGATAACCTTTTTTTCCTGATTAACCGACAGCAGAAGAGGCACTGTTTGAACAATACCACTTCTTTGCTGCCATCGTTTATTGACAATAAATGATAATCTATTGTCTCCTCCTCGTTGATTTCCTTACGTTTTGTGCCGATTATGGTGAGAACTCTGATGGCGGAAATTCACGATGGTTCGTCACTTATCACAACCAGGGAGTGGAGTTGACAAAACAATTTATTATTATTTGCAATCGTGATATAATAATACAACAGACATATAAAATAAATCAGATAAAAATTCGTCCTGCTAATTCACAGTATTTTAAATATAATTTTAGTTGACATTAAAAGTAAAGGAAGATACCAGAGATATACAACTAGATGTCTGAATGTGTTGAAGTTTCATACGACCTATGAAGTTTTGCAGCAGACAAAAGAAAAAATCCAATAATTTATGGAATATTTGATTACGCCATGAATATTATATAATTACAACATGAATTAAAAGGAAAAATACACTAATTCATGAATAAACCCGATAAACACCAAGGTTATTACCTGATAATTGTTGTTGTGAATATATTATATTATAATTCATGGCATAGTCACAAACGTCGTGGATTAATCAACCATTGGTTTGCCCTATTTTATACATGGTCGCTGACTTCATATACTCACCAAGTGGGACATCTCTTTTGTTTTATATATTTATGAAAGGTAGGTACATATACTCAGTCGTTTTTTACTTGATATCCAGTTCATTCCCTTTCAAAAAATATTAATAAAAAGCATTCTTGGATATTACCGCAAGTATCTACTTTTGTAATAAAAATAAACAGATCAAATAGTAGATACTAAAGAAATAATCAGTGTTGGCAAGTTTAACTATGTACCTGAAATCTGGAAAATGTTTAAATAATGGACAATTGCAGTAAAGGTCGTCATTTTTATTGTCAAATTACACGTAATTATTATGGCTTCATCCAACGCATCTCGCAACCATCATTTATCACTTATATTGCATTGAATATCAGTAGAGTATAGATACATCAATCCATTTCTCGAAGTTGATTGCTTAGTTTTTTGAAGATAATTTGAAGTAATTTATGAAAATTAATTAAACTCAAGATTATTCAGCTTGATAAAATGACCTCGATTGTTTCTCTGGATAATGTAAAGCGTTAGGTTCTATACTTATCTCATTAAATGCTCTACAATGTAATTGTTATTGTATGCATATAAACCATACAAAAAAAAACTGTAATTAATAATTTGTTACTAAAATGTATATAACTAGCTTGTGTTTTATTCATTATCTTTATCGTGTATACACTGTGAACAATTATTTGTTTAACAAATGAATTAGCGGTAAATGTTATTCAAATTTCAAAGAACACATTCTTGTAATTTACCAAAACAAATTGAAAAAATAAAACCGAAAATATTGCCGAAAGATATATTTACATATTTTAAGATGTGAATACGATTCGAGTAAACATGATTAGCTATTAAAGTATACAAAAAAGAATGAACGTTACTAAACAAATGTATATAGTTGTGATGCTTGGTTATTTATAAGATACTTCAAAAAAATCTTTAAACTTAGTTCAAAACATAATAATAGCCATCGATAATGAGTTGTATGTATAGAACAAAATCAAATGGGTACAAAATACAATGGATAACATTGAAATTTCATTAATTATAAAATAATAATATAAATATGATATAGGTTATAGAGAAACAATATACATTATAAAATTATTTTAATAATTGGTAATTATTTCTACAGTAGTACAATAATTCATAATTTTAAATAGGTAACAATAACTCGGTTAGGTACTAGGTACTCATTAATATACCTACATCCATATTTTCAAAAAAAAATAATGTGCTTCACAATTTACAATGGAAAAGGGTAGCTTTCTGCGTTTTTTTACTAATATGGTGTATATATACATCAATGTAATATTATAATAGGTTTTGTTTATAGGCTTAAATATTATGTTATTTTAAACATAGAAAATTGAATGAAACACATCAATTTACAGCAAATAGGACAATCCCATTAAAAAAAAAAGTTTGACCTAACACAGTTATACAGTACAATCATTAAATGGCATTCAAAAACTGTGAGTTTGAAAAGAAAATGGTTTTCAGTATGTTAAATTTCTAAAATCAGAAAATTAATAGATATTGTATTATTCAATGTAAAAAAATAATGTTAAGGATACTTGGTGATCAGAATTTTACAATCAACAAATGTGATGTTGATTAAAAATAATTGTTATCACCTAAAAAAATCAATCAAATTCTGTTAAAAGAAAGTACCACTAAAATAATACATTTTAATTATATATGTCCACAGATTAATTTAATATAAATTACATAATAATTGGTAATAGTAATGTACTAATGCATTTTAATAAAAGTTAATGTTAGTAAGCGGGCGAAGTAAATAGGCAATTTAGCTACATTCCTGCGTGTTTTACTGGTATACTGTATGTAAACATCTATGTAATATTTAATGGGTACAAAAATTACGACGTTTTAAGACATAGACAATTTAATAAAATACATTACATTCATAGCAAACAATCAATCATACTTACATTGTCAAAGGTAAATCATAATGTTAGAACATTGAGAACATGTTAGGATTTTAGTAACTGCAAAAAAATCTCAGTATTTCGAGAAACAGACATCAGAAAATAGTTTAAAATGACTCATAAATGATGAGAACTTGAAGTTCCATAAATATAGCATTGGTTATGAAAATCGTATGAGTGATTAGGCCGGAAACAGATTTTTTCTCCTACTCCAATGAAATTCAAATTGTTTTTATTCCAATGCTTGATATATTATGCACCATCATGTAAGACACTCATACAACATGTAAATCAGTCGGACTGCTTGATAAACATATTGTTATTCAACACTCTGTATACTTGCTCGTACTTTAAGTACGAGCAAGTAAAATATTCTTCACAAATAAAAAATAAATTCCCCTTTGTTGCAGACCGTATAAACGGTTGAATAATGGTTTTAAGCGTTATGTACACCAACTAAAAAGGGTCTTATGATTTTGGGCGTCTGCTTTATGATTTATGAATCGATGTAGTTTTGTAGCATTAACTTAACTTTCAGATTTCCGTCTGTGAAAATTCGAAACAAACGTTTATGTTGACTTTGTAATGCATTCAACCTATCAAAGCTGACATTGAAAAACATGTATTTTAGACTCTATATATTATCGTCATCGTCATTAAACACGCACACTCAACTCGCTTGACTGTAATTAAACGAAAACAATTTACTAATTGATATTAAAGCATTCGATAATGTTGCTATTTAATTTTTTTTCACATTTTTCTTTTCTCTTTATGTTTAAATTTTTTGTTTATTCTAATTTTAGAAATACTTACACGAATTACTATTATAAAATTATAATGATTTTTGTTATTTTTATTTATGTCCGTGTCTATATGAAAATGTAAAACTATTTAAAAATTATCATATTTAAATTCCTTTATTATAATATGATAATTTTATTTCAATAATGCAATAAAAATTAAAGAGTAGTATACTGGACACAATCAAGTTGTATATCTTAAATATTTTTTCATAAAAACAATAAATTATTTTCTTAGAACATTACAAATTTTTATGGTTAAGGCATTCAATAAAAATGGCCAGCAGTGCAATACGGCTAAACCCAACCTACCTATAAAATATATTAATATATTCAATATATAATACAAATAATTACATACGAGTATATATAATTATATTATATAATAGGAAAAATAAAAAATATTTAAAACTTTGATCTCGTAAAAAATAAAGAATAGAAACTTGTTGAATCAAGCTTGTAATACTATAATGGTGTAGGCAAAAGATAAAAATATACATTATGGTAATTTTACGACTTTTGAGCGTTTATTGTATGTTCAACAGTTGAATTATAGTCTCATTATGTGGTTCAATGTTGTTATAAGGGTATACTATGAATCTACTTTAAGGGTTTAGTGGACATTAAAACCATAGATCATATTTATAAAGATCGAGCGACGAAAAACACAATTTAAAAAAATCACACGTAATTATTTATTACCCTTTTGTCAGTGGACCTCTTTTTTAATCTTACTCAACCCGAACACAACTATTCACAATCTTGACATGGTCCTCTTCAGTTATTCGACTTCCATCAGTTTCAATGCTGTTTAAATAATTTACATAAGTCCTCGTTATCCATAACTAGTCTAATGGTCGTTTTACGGAAAATTCGAACACTCAAATACACAACCATAGAATATACTTCCTAACCTTATGATTAATTCCCATTGTACAATGGAATCGGTTTGAGAGGTCCTTTAACTCCTATGAAACAATGAATTTATATATATATATATATATTAATATAGTATTGCATTGCCATATTTTTTACAACCCTTTTGACATAATGGTTTTTCAGGAGCGATTTTCACTCAAGAAGACAAAGACAGTACCACGGAGGTAGCATTCAAATATGCTGTATACAGGATAAATAAAGATAAAGCAATCTTGCCGAACACCACGCTTGTATACGATATTGAATATGTTTCTCCACACGACAGCTTCAAAGCTTCTAAAAAAGGTACTGATGGTTACATAATATTTTGATTTATTTTAATTTTGAAAAAATAAATGAGAAAAAATATTTTCTTTATTATATAACTATGCCTATGGTTTGTATTGTTAAGAACAGATATACCTATTTTTTATTTCGATTATAGTACAAATTTTACAAACCGAACGAATTATATAAATTGCACAATAGTCGAGATACAGACATTGCGTTGTATTAATTAAATATTTCGGTCGATTTCGTATGACAAACTGATTAAACAGTCTGTATATAGTTAATTATGTGATTTTGCTAAGGATGGTACTAGTTTTCAGATAGAACGAATGCAATTATAACATCTTCTTGCTCGAGTATTGGCTTTCGTAAGCATAGCATAAATATACCTATGAGAATAGTACAGCAAATAAAGGTCCATTAATTATACGTCATAATATCGTAATTACTATAATTAAAGTTGAATGTATTATAAATACAACAATATTTATAATAAACATTGCAAAAAATAAACTTTATAAACATCTTTAAAATTTGTAATTTGTCAAAATTTAATTATTTTCATCATAATTTTATATTATGATACAATTATCGCTATGATAATTACTAATGAATTTGATGTAACGAGACGTATTCTGTGGGTAAATGTGTAAAGAACATAAAGTATATTCATTTCAATATTGTAGCTCGTTGTATATCTCAGTCTACAGACTAGAAAACAAAACAATAAAACCCCTCCCGACAAAGGGTAGTAGAATACTACCAGATATTTTTCTTCTGCGTGGAAAATTGAGGAATCGTAATTATGTTTTTGGGTTTATTTCAGAGGAAAAATATCGAATGACATACTATTAAGATTGATTTTTAGGACAGTAACTATTGATTGGCAATAAAACTCGTTACCAGCAATTGGTTAGAGAAAAAAATTGCTTCCAACCAAAAAACACAGCCCCCCCCCCCCCGATTTTCAATTTTTGGATTTTTTACCATTTTTTTGTAGAGCCGGATTTTATTGGTGTGTAATCTCATTTTTTTAGTCTGTAGAGATACAGTTTTTTTAAAACCAAAATGTTGGGGACTCCTACCAATTTCTACAAACGAAAAAAAAAATGAGATTGCAAACCGACTATAAACGAATAGTAGAAAAAAATTCAAAATTTGAGATTGGGGGAGCAGGGGAAATGGACCTATAACAATGTACCTTCAGATGTCTCAACGATCACGAATTGGTACAAAATGTCATCACTATTATCAACGACGAGTACTAATTAGTACTACTGTTGTACATATTTGAGTTTTAACCGATAATGTCTTCATCATAATTAATTATAGACGCAAGAAAAACATATAAGCAATATACAGTTATATTCACGACAGCGATAAGTCAATAATAATAGTCTTATATCAGGTTGCCATGACATTTTAATTTAACGAAATAAAATTGAAAAAAAAAACGTCTTCCTACCTATGACCGAGTTCAACGTGGTCACGACGACAATGATACATAGTCGAGACAATTTATTGCCAGGACACGAAACATCGTCGTTCAGTGTAGTATTATTATTTTTTTATCAGTCACCAACACTCAGAGTACACGATACGAATGGTCTCATTGGTCGGAGACGAGTATATTCTGGACAGTGAGCTGAGATATATGTGAATGTGTGTGCGCGTGGATGTGTGTGTGTGTGTGTGTGTGTGTGTGTGTGTGTGTGTGTGTGTGTGTGTGTGTCTGTAGTAATAGGTCACGAATAAAGCCGTATGAATGTGAAACGATATAATGGTAGGAGGCGAGTAAGTGGAACTTCACATAAATCATTCGAATCTCCCGAAATACCCGCACGTTATTACAGTTAATGTATATAGTACGTTCTTTTTATAAATATATATATATATTATAAACAAGTTTACATTTATTTATACAAAATGCTGAATAGTCGTGGTCTTATACAAAAGATTTCCTGCGGACGTGGCGTGGATTCCGGATACGAGATTTACTCCGCCGTTCAGCCAGTTGTTTAATGTAAATATTCCGCCGCCGACGACGACAATAAATAGCCCCGGGAATTTAGTGACCATTCGCTTACTTACCTTTACAATCCTACGAGGTCCATACTTCTAGTTTGATTAACCATCATTTACCGCACGCCGTCCGGCCAAATCTAATAATCGTCGTCTGACAGATTTAGCGAGACGATTTTGAATAATATTGTTGGCGCATAATGCATCGTCGAAGTTTCGAGTACCTACTTGTATCTACAACGAACTGTTGTGGCTAAGTGACGCAAAATTCTGATCGTCCCGTTTTTTTTTTTGTAGGCACAGCTGAACCGTTTACTCGGATGGTTAAAATATATATATATATCCGTTAGGTTCGACAGATTATATTACGCGTTCAATGATAATCGTAAAATAATTATTCTAAAAAAAAAACTTTTGTACTTTTTACGGTTCATTTTTGAAACCTAACTATTTAACATAATCGCATTGATTAATTTTTTTTTTTGTGTACCTAATCTAAAATGTTATCATTTATACATTATATTTTCTATTTTCTATTTTAGTTTTAGCACATTTCATAAGTCTGGTCATAAGTATGAAGATTCGTATAAGTTTGGGTTTGTTTTGTGCTCGAATCTTGATTCTTCGTAGTAGGATTTGCTTTCAATTCAAATGTATCTTACTAATGTGTTATAATATTATTATACATTATAATATAATACATCGTCAACGTTAAACGGATGAAAACAGTATTATGTTGTTTTTTATATTATATTGACTATGACCACACACTAGTCTGAATAAAAGTCTCCGTACTAAGAAAATGCAATAAAATGACGTCTAGTCCACTGAAATGTATCTCGACCAACCTATGTTGAAATCAGATAATCACAAATATCTTACGAACACGAAGTTTTATTAGATATTACTCAATGTATTACGTATGTGATTTGTTTAAATTCGTATATTATTATTATTATTATTATTATTATTATAACAAAGGTACCTGCCCACCCAGGCCATTTTATAAAATGATTTGTTGTAATAAATCTTGATGTATTGTGTTACACGACCGATAAACAAAATAATAAACAATATCATGACGTAGGAGAATATTTTAGATTTTCGTAACCACATAAAATCTAATAATAACAGCAACAACCATACGAGATGAACAATAATAATATCCAAAATTTGTACAGTTCACAGAGAGTACCTATACATATTACAGAAACCGTTAAATTTCGTGGAATCCCAACATCTTATTTTGATACTGTTTTTCGCTTAGTAATTTCATTTAATAAAACTTCATTTGTTCATCTCGTACACTACACGCAATTTCCATTTAACGTAATGTAATATAATTTCTAAAAAAACTCATCCCCACTCAAATGTCATCGTCGTACGCAATGTTTTACGGTATACGATCAGCAGTAGATATTTATTTTATATCAGTTGATGAATTATTAAAAAAATGACCCAAAGTCGATATTGAATTATTCTTCTACTTGAGTGTTGAAATAAATTCTTAATTAATGGTTTTATTTAATTGCTACAGTTATAGTTTTATGGACAGTTAATTAAATGCATAATAATAGTATGCTATTAAAATACTCAAAGTGAGTATGAAATCAAAATTCATAAAGGAAAAATGGGCTTGAGTTCATCAAGATATTGAAACGACAAATACGAAGAAGAAAAAACATTTTAATTTATTATACTAAAATTAATTAAGTTTTACTGCGATGTTTTTATTCGACATAACACACGAGTTCTGGAATTAAACAAATATAAAATATTACGTATGTATTACATTATATAATAATATAAGAAACATGAAATACAGTTTCTCATGATTACTTTTTATGACCAACTATTGGATTTGTTTATGTCGTATCGTAAAATATGCATACACAATATTATACTCGAGTATATACAATTTTATTTATACAATCAAATATTATTCATATACAAATATCAGATATTCTATACGCAGTGTATTATTATACGAATCAAAACTGAATATCACTAATAAAAATAATACCATAAAAAACTTTTTGTTTCTTTTTTTTATAGCGTTTATGTTAGTTAATTCTTATATAGTAAAGTTTTGAATAGATTCTAACTATTTTTCAAAATATCTAAACTGTATGTTTTTATGAAAATCTTTGAGTACTTATTAAAATTCAATCTTGTAAATTTAATTATTAAAATATTATCCATGCACGAATACCTATAGTATATTCTGTATACAATGATACACATTGTTATTCGAATTAAAAAGATTTCGCTTCTTGCTTTTTATAGAATTTAAGTTAGATCTTATATTATGGTATAATTAATTGTATGTACTTATTGCAACTATTTTTCAAAGCATCCACAAATGTACGTTTTTAAGAAAATGATTTGTGAACGAAACGACTTAAGATTAATTCTCTGACTACTATTATAATTATTCTTGTAAATTTCATTTTTTTTTTTTTTGTTGACTTGGATTAGGAAATTCTTTAAAATTTGCGAATATTCTAACTGTTATATTATTAGAAATTTAACATTATACTTAACTGGCATATACTACTGTATACAATATTGTTATAAATATTAAAATAACGATTACATACGAAGCAGAAGTCAATCAAGCTGAGTCATTTATATTATATACGCCAAGCCTTTGGGTAGCGTATACCACAATATACATATATCAATATATATATATATGTATACATTAACATTTTTTCTCGTGAAAATTAGTATAATAAATAATAATATATTATGTAAACATAAAGTTGGTTTGTTGATTAAAAAGTAACTTACAGGTAAGCAAAAATAAACAATTATGCGTACCTAATTAAAATACAGATTAGGTTATTGAAAATAAACACGTACAATACCAATTAAGTAGATCGAATAATGATAAGCAAGATATTTGCAAACTTCAATTAAAACTTAAGACTCATAAATTAGAGCTCTTTTTCGTATTCATAACCCCTTGTTTATAGATTGACTTACAGCTT